TACAGTACTGTGAATATATAGGTATAAAATGTAAAATTTTATTTAATTATAGCAGATTAGTTTAATACTTGATATAACCATTTTACCAGTGATATAAAGTATATATGTACAAATTGGTTATTTATTTAAGCAACTTTTTCTCCTATAAACATTTTTTTAACAACTGTTAATTGGACTTAGGCAATTATCATTCATTTAAAAAGCTTTTGTCTAATGTATTATTTAGTTGACCTTATTATATACACAAAAAATGAGTTTTTTCATAAAAAATTGTTCTATCATATCTACACAATATTCATTAAATGGTCATTGTAGTAAATAGCTTTAACATTACTGAACATTAAACATAGCTTTATTCAAATTAGAGCTGGAGAACACATTTTATTTTGTGGGAATATCTGCAAATTTGAGCATTTTCCTATTCTGCAACTGAAAAAAAGCAAAAGTCAAAATTTTCTAGAAGTGAAACAACAAAGTCATTTACTGAACTACATTTTTCTACCAATTTTCTTTTGAAACGCAACAGAAGCTCATTCTCTAATCAGAAAAGCAATTCAGTGGAAAGTCTCCAATTGGCTCTACTTGTATTATCACACATCTACGTTTCCTTATGTTTGACACATTTCTGAGTTAAACTTGCTATTATTAACAGTCTATTAACAATTTTGCCTAGTAGCCCACATAATGGATCAAGACCCCATTCTATTACACATTGCACAAATGCATATAAAGGGAGTCTCTACTCAAAAAGTTTACAATTTTAGTATAAAGTGTTGATATTGAGTGCTGATACAAACTAGCTAAGTCTGTGGCATGGATTTCTATCAATTCCAATGGCATTGAACTGGGCCTGTAATTTACAGTTGTCTAACTGAACCATGAAGCTGAGGTGGCAAGCCCATGGCATGTCTGCACACCAGCGTGTAGTCACCCACCTCTGAGTTTCATAATATAAGGTGCACGGTACACCCTTCTTGATTTTTTTCAAAAGAAACAAAGGGTGCTCAGCATTCTTTGCTCTTCACTCCAATAAAACACATTTACTAAAGTTTCCAGATTTCCATTTTATGCATTCTAGGTGTCACAGTACATGTATGCAAAGAAGATGAATTTGTTTCTCATTTTGTTCTGCAAAGGTGTGTCTTTATACCTACTTACTTATGATATTTTCTTTTAAATGTTGGAAGTATAGAAAAAGAAATTAAATGCAGGGAACCAGCTTAAATTTAACAATCCATAGCCATCCTACAACTCAGTGATTCAGTTGTATTTTGTGTTAATAGTAGCTTACAGCTTCCACCTCACCCTATACACTTTCACCTAATCAACTACTTATAAACAGCTAATTAAAACAAAAAATTCTGCCAAAAGAACGTTAACATTCTACTGCTTTAAGAAATTAAACATTCTGCTGTTTAACTTCTTAAAGTAGTGCAACAAACACCACCTCCAAACAGACCTAGTTGGGAATATTACTATATCCAGATTGGTCACAGAGTGCATTGTAATAAATTACCACACATTTAGGAAAATACATATTTCCTTGTTGAATAAAAACCTGAAATAAGTGTAATTTACATTTCTTTCAAAAGCTAATAATTACTTTAATTTGATAAACTCCTGAAATCAAACCCATCTTCTTGTAATAAATAATATTAACTAGAAGTACACTGATATATCAGTGCCATATCGGATCGGCACTGATAAAAGGAAAATTAACATTATCAGCTATTGGCTTTTTAGCCGGTGTTGCTGATAATGTCACCGATAAATACAATACACCTTCTGGCCGGGGTCCCCGGACACAGTGTGCATGCATGAAGACACACACACGCACATGGTCAGGGATACAGCTGGGCAGTGTGGAGACCAGCGCCCTGCAGGTAAGTCTGTAGAGTGAAAGGGGCGTGGGGGGGCAGGATCAAGGCCCCCATGGTAAGAAAGAGAGTGGGGCAGGAGTTGGGGGCACTGCCCAGCCAGGGCGATGAATGAGACACCGGAGCCCAGGCAGGGAGCTTGATGGGCGGCTCGTCCAGGGGGAAGGAAAGAGGGAGAGAAAGGGGGGGCGACTCCCCAGTGCTGTACATACCACCAGGGGTAGGCATGGGGGGCATGTACCCTCCCCCCCACCCAATCCATGTGCAGGGAGAGGGCTGCTCGCTGCGGGCTCAGGGCTCTGTTCTGTTGCCTTTGCCCAAGGAGCTGCACGTTGGCTGCATGTCCCCTGCCCACCCAGCAGCAGTGGGGGCAATGAGTTGTGCTTCCCACAGCCAGGTGGGCAGGGGATCAGTGGCCAGTGCACAGCTCCTAGAGCAAAGGCAGCAGGGTGGAAAGCCCCAGGCCCACAGCAAGCAGCTTGCCTCTGCCCTTGCCCCACTCAGCTCTGCTCCAGTTATAAGTGTCCTCGCACTTAAAAATCCTCACACCTTATTTGATGAGCTTTAGTTCAAGTATCCCCATCACCATTTTTAAGCACTAGGACACTGATCCCCTGGACAAGCCGCCCACGGCTCCATCCCACTCCCTGCCCCAGCCCCGGGGTCCCATTCACCACCCTAGCTGGGCAGCATCCCCAGCCTCTGCCCCATCCCACTCCCACCCCCACTGTGGGGCCTCGATCTGCCCCCTCACCCCCATTCCCCTCCAAAGAATTACTTGCAGAGAACTGCTCTTCACGCTGCCCAGCTGCATTCCTGTAAATTGGTTATTGGATCGATATTGACTGATATGCCTAGTGAATAATCAACTGTTGGTATTTGTGGCAGGGCACTGTTGGTGCCTGCCACTTTAAGGTCCGAGCCAAGCAGCCAGCAGGTGCTTAATTGCGACAGCCATTTTAGATCCATGGCTGCCTATATAAACTGGACAGTTTGCTGCTTGCAGGCAGGCAGTAACATTGACTGACTGCAAGGCTGCTTGGAACATCCTGGAGGTAAGGGAGGAGCTGTAGGAGATGGTTTGGAGGCTCCTGGTCCTGGGCATGACCTAAAACTGCACTCTGCCGGGAGTGGGTGGCCTGGTGGGGCTCTCAGTGGCATGGAAGCCCCCAGGAAATGCCAGGCCCGTTACCACCCTGGTGAAAGGTGAGTAGGGGCACCTTAACCCCAGCCCTCACCTTCGAGTGGGCTACTTGTACCACCAGAGTAGGGTAGGCCAGGTAAGGTTCGGTAAGTGCCTGAGCCTGCTGGGGGAGTGACCCTGCAGGGCCAGGCATGCTTCCAGAAGCACCTAAGCTGGAAATGGGGGGCCCTGATCCTTAAGTGAAGGCAGGAGGCGAAAACCCCACTGAGGAACTCAACTGGTCAATGCTGGGGCCAGGACCAAAGGGTCAAAAAGGCCAGAGACCCACCGTGAGGGACACCCACAAAGAGCTAAGAAGCTCTGGGTCCCAACTGGGCTTGAGATGGGGCCACAGCTTATGGAAGCCAAAGGTCCCCAGGGTTGGGGGCCACAGCTAATGGGTGAAGGCGATGGTAGAGCTAACTGCCCAAGATGCCATCTGCAAGGCTTGGGCCACAGTGTAGGGGTGGAACGGAGCCACGGATAGCCCCCCCCAATATCGGGGTATAACAATGAGCAGCCTCCTGCCTTAAGTAACAACATTATTAATTAACAACAAGGTTTGGTGGGCGAGACAGGTGGGTGGCAAGCCCAGAGGCAGGTAGGGAAAACGAACCCTGTGGCTAGTCAGGGACTCTACTTTGCCACAGTATTGGCCAAGAAAATCTTTATCAGTGTAATATTAACCCTTGTTTGGATAAAGGCAAATTCTTCCCATTTTCTATCTAACCTACCCCTGCTTAACTGGATTACCAAAGAGATTTTGTGAGACCAGGCAAAGACTAAATGTTCCCTCCTTATATTTTTCCCACTGGTTTCATTGGAGACACTGGAGTTCTGTTTAACTTAGATATACAAACTGCTTGAAATAAAGCCATTAAATAAAAAATTTAGGCATATTCCCTATACTAGTGGTGCTCACAGTTTTAGCTCTGTAGGCCAGATGAGTGGCATGGGGCCAGTTCACAGGCTGGATCATGCCCCACACCACCAGTGAACACCAGGATTGGACCCCACATCACCTGTGCCCAGCTGGAGCAAGATCCCGGCTGGGCAGGGGCAGCACAAGCCCCCAGGGCCCAATCCTGGTGCACAGTACCAGGCAGTAAGTGTGGCTTTATGCCAGCCCCGCACCAGCTAGGATTGGGTCCTGGGGCCCCACATCAGCCAGGATCAGGCTGCTTCAAAACCTGCACCACCCACCAGCACTGGGATTAGATCCTATGATACCCTTCATGCCCAATCTAGCTCACAGGGCCATGGCCTGCAGAGCTTTTCAGGGGAGCCATGGGAAGCCATATGGGCTGGATTACATGGCACTGGAGGCCAAATCCGGCCAGCCATTGAGAACCCCTGCTTTATACTAAACATCATGGTACTATGACACTTGAATTTCTCACAGTTTGGTTGTGTTTTGTTTCTTTTCCAGTCTGAAGTGTTCCAAACTGAAAAAGTTATCCTAAGTAGCAGTGCCATGATATCAGCAGCCTAAAACTGGGTGAACATTATTATTCTAAGCATGCCAATGTGGAAAGGTTTACAATTTCTTTTTAGTTTTATTAAGAAAGACATCTTCATTTGTACAGGAAATACAATTTAAAGTCAAGTAACCACAGTATTCCTCAAGGTAGTAGTATACAAGCACTAGACACAAATGCTGTATGACAAGTCTGACATTACCACCATTTGTGTTCAGACAAGAGTAAACATTTACTTTCCAATAATACCCTTAATATTAACATGACACATTCAGTTTGGTTTTGATGAATCTGTGTTGTATCTGCTAGACGTGACCACCCAATCTCAGTTTACATTTAATAACGTCTTGTACTTAATGCAACACACTTAACAATTTTAAATTCTGGCTGCACATTTGAAAAACAACTTCATTTACCTTTAATAATAGTTGTATAATTTCTTGTTAGCTATAAAGAGCTTACCTCAAAAATTTCAAAGCCATAGATGTCCAACACTCCCATGACCTTTTTTCTTACTTTTGTCTGAGCCTTTAAAGAGAAAGTTGAGTTACAGCTTGGTAGTACTTGGGGTCAAGAGAAATGCACCTTATGGGCATGCTGCCATATTGCCTAGGCTAAATAGCTAGGTTTGGATATTCAAAAATATTTATTATGTATGTTTTTATAAGCTTAAAACCAAGCAAAACATATTGGTGAGATCCAGATAAAGATAAAAGTTATTCACCTGCAGCATTAGTAGGCCCGTAACACTGTACTAGTGCATGAGAATATGAAAGTGAAACTGACAAGTATAGCTTTATTGATTTCTTTACAAGCACAGAAGAGTATTACCTTAATGCTCTCATTGATTCTGGTTACAAGCCAGGAAAACAGTCTACTGTACAAATTCTTAGCCAGAGCATCACGGGCATAATAAGCCTATTCAAGGGGAAAGAGAAAAAAAAAAAGGTGTTAGAAATACTGGGCTAATCCTTGAACCACTTATGTTTTTTTCAGTCTCTTAAAGGTGCTATAAGAAGGATTGAAGCGACTTTCAAGGAATTTACCCAGTAGACAAGAGTTCTCTGTCTGGGGCAGGGCTACTGGAACACTTCATGCAAGTTTCCTTCTCAGTCGCCGCCAGGGCTGGAGGGGCTGTGGCCAGAGAGCACTATACCCTTCCTATTCTTAACTTATCAATGCTCCGTGATAAGTCTTGCATCCAGGGCATAACTTAAAATAGTCTAGTATCTGCTTTCACTTACACCAGCAGCTTGACAGACCCAGAAAAACCAAAAATGTAGGAAGAACAATTATGGTTTAAAGCTACCTTTCCCTGAACACCCACATCCCAATTTCAGTGGAGAGCAAGAGAGAAAATAAAAATCTGGTCTTTTGTTTAATGGTATTGTGTTAAGGAATATTTATATACCTAAAAGGCATCCAAGGATTCCAGGAGGACTTCAGACGTAGTAAAAACTTAAATCTGTGAACCTGATACATGATCAGGGCTTTCCTACTGAAAAACAGATTCTTGAGAAGCCCTCTCCCTAAAGAGATGAGACTATGAATCCAATTATTTTTGGACAAAAGGTATGTATAATCTTGACTTTTCTGTACTTTGAAATCAGTCAGAAATAGGAAAGCAGGTGGAAGGGTGAAGGGACAAAAGAAAAAAAAAAAGGAAAGGAGAGGAATGACAAGCACCCCTTAAAATAGTTTTCAACTTTTTTTTAAAACCTCCAAATATGAATTTTGATCTTGAATGTCCCCCTCCACCACTCTTCTCCCCTCCTTACACATTTCCTACTTCTATGTAGATTCCTTCTCTGAACTAGAAAGGATACTATCAAGCAGACTTCATGATAATGACTAAAATAAATGAGGAAAACAGAAAGCAATACAATCTGAACTTGACTTGTTTACAGCAAATAAGAGAGAAGAAAGCAAGGACTGATTCAAAGCAGAGAAATACCTTTAATATGGAGGAGACAAGAACTCATGTGTGACAGGGGGCCATCCCTGGGGCCTGTCACAATGTCGGCCCACCCACCTGTCTAGGGCAGTCTGGCCACCTAACTCACCTGCCACACCTTTGATGTAACTGAATTGGTGTTTCTAGGTAGGAGGCTGCCCATTTTAATGTCATGATGCCAAGGGCATTACATACAGCTCCCTTTTACTGTGTCCCATGCCTTGCAGATGGCATCACTATATGGCTCCGGCCCCATACTGGGCCTCACTATGTTCCTGGCTGACATTTGGACCCTGACCTGGATCTGTGCTACTCATGTGGCTTAACCTCTATCATCATTCGGGGTTGCAAACTCCCTAGACCCTCTCCCTCTCGGCAGTGGGTCTCCTCTGGGACCTCTGGCCTTGCCTCTAGGCCAGTTGGGACTCCAGGCAACTGGCTCTGGCCGCCACTCATGGTGGGCGCTTTTGCCCTTTGACCATCCTGGCCCTGGCCCCAGTATGGGCCACTCAAGGTTATTTTGGGTATGCTACTGAGCCACTTGCACTCTCTCTCTCTCATGGGTCCACCTTCTCGGGCCCCTCCAAACACTGTGCCCAATCTCAGAGCTTGTGGGCCACATAGTCATCCTGGACCCCTCCTGGTCCTGCTGTTCCTCCCTACTGGGCCTCTACTCCACTCCCTCACTGGGGCTTCTGGGTCTTATGCCACGTGGGCCTCATGCCTCTGATGTCATGCCTGGACCCTTAGCCTGTCCCCTCTCTAGGGTTACCCACTAGGTCATGAGGGCTGAGGCTTTATGGCACACCATATTCATCTTTTACTAGGGAGACATTGGTGTGGCAGTTCCTGGGGACCCCCCTGCCATAGGCGGCCCTACCACACCATCCAACCCTAGCAGGGTGTCATTTTAGGTCATTCCCCAGGACCAGGAATCTCCTCCATCCCTATAGTTCCTACCCTTGACCTCCAGGTGCTCTGGGAGCAGCAGTACTCCAGCCGGAAGATGTTCACCTTCTAGCTCCCCAGTTGCAACTGCCAGCCCTGCTCTCAGCTGCAATGGCCAGGCCCTCCAGGTTGCCATGCAACTCCCTGATTGGCTCTGAAGTCACCTGCAGGCTGCTTTGCTGCCTACTCAAGCCTACCAAAGGTGCCCTGCCACACCATGCTAGAAAATATGGTCTAATCTAAATTAACAAGTTGTCCAGTATTGTCCCTATGCACATCAGCAACAAAAGATGGGCAAGATGAAAAATATACTAACAAAGCATAGAATATAGGAGCCAAGATGCTACAAACTACTAATCAGACTTCATTTGGAATACTGTGCTGCAAGAGTCATTGTACCACAAGAAGGATATTATTGCCTTAAGGCAGATGATATACTGGGCAATGAAGACCAGTTTTGAAGAATCTCCCTTAAAGACAATTAGGGAATTTACTTTATTCTTACTAGAAAACAATAGGCTTCAAGATGACTTTACTATAACTTGCAAAATTATCAATGGAATTAGTGTTATGTATGTATTTATTTTTAAATAACACCTCCAAGTCCAGACTACAGTCATACCCTGGTCTTATATTGAGATAATACAATATTGGACATTAGTGGGAAACTCAACCAGAACTATTCCATAGCAAGAGTAATAAGTCATTGTGAAAGTAATTGAAACCAAGTAATTTTAAGAAACACCTTAATTTGTTGCAGAGGAAGTGCTGAAGGTTATGGTGAAAAAGCAGGAAGTTTGGAATAAATAAACAAAGAATAAGGAGAGGCATGTTCAACCAGATGGCCTTTTCCTGTTCCTAAAATATCTTATGGTCTTCATGTGCTAACTTCCAAGTTGGCTTGCCTTTGATATCAGTAGCTGCAGCAAGAAGAGAGGAAAGGGAGGGATGCTGAGAAATTACAAAAAGGAGGAGGAGTGTGGCACGCTGAGTTTATTCATGCTACCAGCAAAAATTTCCAAGCAGTCCAGTGAGTATAAATCATGCTAAATTAAATTGGCTGTTCAAAATGAAAAGATGGTCTGCCACATCAGGATATATTACACTTACTGCATTTCCACACAAGATGTAAGATAAGCTTCCTATGTTCTTTACTTTTGGACATGACTCACATGTAAAAACAAAATCATCAGCAAGCACAGTCAAGCACTCAAAACATGCAAAGACAATGAAGAGTGCTAGTTTTGCTAGTGTTAGTTTGAAGTACTTTGTGAACAGCAGTTCTACTTTTGTTACAAAGCAGAAAACATACTGCAAATACTGTTTCCCTCTAAAACAAAAGGAATCTCTTTTTACCTGAGCCACATTTAGGGTTGTAGAGACCTTTTCTTGTTTGGCTTCAACTGTACGGAAGCTAAACGCTCTTTCCAACACTGACTGATCAATACCTGTCAACTCACAAATTTCTTTGAGCTCTACAAAACAAAAACCCAGAGTATGAATAGAAATAACACTTTCATATCACTGCTTATATTGACTGAACTTCTTCACACACTTATATATACTTAGTTATTACATTTAACTTTAACATTTTACATTTAAAACTGAAGAGCATTTCCAGAATAGTATTTGGTAAATTTGGAGCAGTTCCCCTCCCACTAGAGATGATTAAAAACATCCACAAAAATTCCACAGACATGTTTTGTTTAATCTATGTCAGTATTTTTCAGTAAGAGGCTCCTCCACTCCCCCGATCACCTCCCATCACCATTTTCACTGGCTTCCTATCCCCTTGAGCAGGATTTTTAAAAACCCCACCAACTTAAAAAAAATATCACACATCAAGGGAGTAAATGGATCTTAAGATAGAATGGCAATATGAAAAAACAAAATTGAACACCCCCCATGCCCTCCACACACACATGCACACAGGCTACAAAACAACCAAAGAATAACATTAATTTATAGTAAACCAGTATCTTCCATTTAACATTTCAGAAAAAGATGTAGTAATATGTAAAACAAAGAAAAATAATTTTATGAAAAAATCCATTCTTCTAAACGCCAAACTTTGATTGAAACATCTTGTAAGATTCCACCAAGCTTTACCTATAATGTGCAAAACAATTAAAGGAAATAATTTACCTCAGCTACTAGAATAAGAAATATACATGTTAACACTGTCTGTACATGGTGCAGAACCCATGAACAAATTATTTAAACAACAGTAATATTTTGCCTTATCATCACTGTCACCTTACCATTTTTATCTTTAATTTTACTTTCATCTAAACCATTTACTCGAGATTCAGGTTTGAATTCAATGTTTCCCAATTTCAGAACTGCTGCTACCACTTCAAAGACAGATTGTGTTTCATGATCCATAAAGCCAACAATCTGCATGGCATTCTAAAAAAAGAAAAAAAAAAGGGGGGGGTGGGGGAAATCTTGAGATAGAAGGAAGCCAAATAGATCAATATTTGCAAAATGTACCATTTAGGCACATTAGCACAGCGTACAAATATTTAGCATACACATATGATACAAGACCAATATGAAAAGTTGCTTACTTGGATAATTACACTCCAGCTATTCAACAGAGCTTTGTGAGGTAACTCAGTTTGCATGTTCCTTAATAGCTCTATGAATTCATCTCTATCTCTGTGTACTTAATCTGCTTCTACTTTCCCCCAGACCACTAACGGGTAGTTCATAAATTTCAGAAAGATATGGTTCAGCTTCCAAACACCAGTTAGTGTAATTTCAAACTCAAGCCAAGCTTTGAAAAATAAACTAAACAGATCACAAGTGACCTGAGAAGACAGCAGTCAAAACTGATAGATTAATATAAATTCTAAAATTAAATGCAACTATAAACAGAATACAAGAGGAGGATTACAGGAAGGAACATTTACTTTTCCTCCTTAAGTATACACATGCAAAACCAAACAAACATTATCAAAGTTTTGGTTAATATAGGATTGGAAGGGACCTTCGAAATCATAACACTGAGTCCCCTGATATTGCAGGGACACACATCATAATCCCTTTATTAAGGAAATAAACTTACAGTTTAAAACTAGTTAAGGTTCTCCCGTCGCCACTACTCCTGTTGAAAAGCTATCCCAGAACTTTGTTAGTAGTTGGAAACTTTCTAAATTCCGAACTAGATGTACTTGTAGCCATTCCACACCCAACTGTTCCTATGCCAACATTGTCCTTCAAGTTTAAATAGTTCTTTTCCCTCCCTCACGTACAAAAAGACCGATCATACGCCTTTTCAGATTTCATTTTGTTCAACTAAATAGGCCAAGCTCTTTCAGTTTCCTTTCCTTATATCTAAAACTTACTGTATAGCTCTATGTGCCAACAAAATACCATATTTACTCATATCCAAGATGAGGTATTTTCCCCCAACTCAGCATGGGGAGGAAGGGAGGGAGGGAAGCCGCATCTTAGATTCAGGTACTTGCCCAGGACAAGCATTGGCTAAGCTCCCACTTTAGCCCCAGGCTCTTGGCTGACACTGGAACTGAGCTACCACTGCCCCAGGCTGGGATGGCTCACTGGGGGGAATGGGAGGAGACAGGGAAGAAGGGGGTTCATGGCCAGGGGCAACACAGAGGAGGCCATGGGGTGTGGAAGGGAAACTGCAACCTGTCACTACACCCACTGCCTCCCCCTCAGCTGCCCCCTTCCCCCTTACCTTCTGCTCCAGCTCAATTTTCTCCAGTGCCAACCCACCCCAGCTGGGAGCTGCAGCTGCTTCTCCCTGTCTAGGCTGAGCTGAGACCAGGCCAGGACCATGCTGCTGCTGACTGCCTCAGAGGAACAGAGCTGCAGCAGAAGGTAAGCGGGGAGGGAAAGGCTATGAGGGAAACGGGTATGGTGGGGGCGGACTGCAGGGGGAACAGAGAGACGAGGGGTAGGGGGGAAACAAGAGGGGAAACAAGGGGTGGGGAGGGCAGACACAGGCATGCCTTGGCAAGCAGCAGGGTGGCATATAGAAGGAAGAACTGGCACAGTGGGGGCAAGGGGCTGGGGATCTGGCCCTTATTTCCCCACCACAGCAGTGAGTGGGACAAATTTAAGGCAACCTTCCATAAATTAAATTCCATACATGGAAAATTAAAACAAATTTATAATGTTCCATGTATTGAATCTAATTATTGTGGGGGTCATCTTAAATTCAAGCTTGTCTTGGATTTGAGTAAATTTAATAATGTATACAATACAGATTAGGACCCTAATTCTGGAAATGGGCCCCCATTACAGAGCCAGTGGCAAAATTAAGGCCTCAATTTCAGTTTAGTGCTGTGTCCTGGATTACACAGAATGGTACTGTTTCTTACCCTAACTGTTCTGAAGTTTGCTGCGTCATCCACTCCATTTACTCTGGCAGAGTCCAGACCCAGGTAGTTATATCTGCTGAAATCCCGTTCAAGTTTAAGTTTGCCTAATGAATCAAATAAAAATAATATTAATAACCAACCTTCCCAATGTCTCCTTCATGTCGGGAACGTAAAAAGAGCTCTTAGTTCAATAATAGTTATTAACAATACTGTTAATTTAGTTCAGTTTCTTTTAGATTGCAAGTCTTTCAGAGCAAGAATCCAAAAACATCCAACTCAATGGGACTTAATCTGATATCTTTTAGACTCTATCACAACATAGATATTTTCTACTCTCATTATTGTTATTATTAGCAGGAATAATTTGGAAGGTAGGAGAGACACACCAAAGAAACAACAAATTGAAGCATCAGTTGTGAAAGTTATTTGAAACAAAAATACTGTGTAAGCGTAATACTTACAAAGCAGGTCTTCTGAACCACCAGAAAGGATTTGATAGAAGATATGAAAGTTTCTTTCACCTCTTGGTTGTTTAACAACACGCGACTTCTCTAACAGATCTAAAGACAAAGTTACAGGAGTTAGACAGAAAATAGTAGGACAAAAATACTAACACGTTGCCTTTTTCCCTTCCTTTTTCTAGTTTATAGTTTTTTTCAAACACTTGAGCTGGTCAAATAATGTATACTGAAAAATACGACTGACAGTAATATTTTTCAATTATTTGTGAATAACCTATTTGGTTGACCTACAAGAAGTCAATATCTTCTAAATGTTGTTAGCCTACCAAATTAGTCATTGAGAGAGAGAAGCCATAACTCCCCCTGCCATACCTGAGAAGCTATAAAGAACTAATTCTACATGAAGTATTTAAAGGGTGCAAGTAGTTAAAAAGGAGAAATAGTTTTAGAGTAGTATAAAGAAACAAAACTAGGAACAATAGGAAAAAACTGAGTAAAGAAAAAAATTAAACAACCGATACGCAATATGTCATGAGGCATTCAATAATCTCCAGAGGGACCTAATGAAAGCTCCATAATAATGCACGGCTTTTCAAGCCACACTGGAAGTACTGTAAAATGCAACACTGCGCTGTCAAATAGAATGACAAAATGAGTTATTAGTTCTTCTCCGTTAATGCCTTATATGTTTCTATCACTTATCAGTGAGACTATCTCACTAGATTGTAATGCTTTGTTGGCTCAAAACACAATGAAAAATAAATTTTAGAGCACTTTATCACACTTACTACACAAATGGCAAAGCAAGCTTGGTTACAGACCGAAATGCACTAGTAGTTTGCTTTTGGTAATTTTTTGCTCAGTGCAATGTGGAAATGGGAAGAGAGAGAGATCACCCAAGAATCTCACATATGCTTGCTTATCATATAAGGATTAAGAATGAACTGCAACTGCAGAGGTCCCTCAATCCCAGACAGTCTTTCATTCCTTATTTCAGTTGTATACATAAAGGCTCAACCTCACCATCTCAGTCACGTGCAGTATGCAAATCCCTGGATTCAAATCCCTTTAGGTCCCATTCAAAAGGGAGAAAAGCACAGGGGCCAGTATACTGCCATATTGGCTGCTTGCAGACATTTAAACCCCGCTGCCCACACATACACAACCCAGCGCTTTACTTGAAACTTGATGCACTCTCCCACTGAGCCCAGGTGCATGCCTGGAGGAGGCAGTGCATTAGTTGGACCCAACTCATCCAATGTCTATATAGATTGGAAGCTTTAGTGGGGCTTTTTTGGCACTTTTATCTGATAGCTGGTTGACTCAGCTTTAGATACAAGTGCCAGAAAGCCCTGCTGAAGCCCCTGATCTGTAAAGACACTGCGGAGCTGGGTCAAAATAGCATGCTGCTTCTTCTGATAAGGGGGGGGGGAGAAGTTGTGTTTTTTTTAAAACGCCAGCAAGCAGCCATTGAAGACAGTGAAGATAGATATGCTGTTCTATCTATGTACATCCTGGCATGAATAGGCATCTCAACAGACATGTACACATTCTGTACCATATCAGAGCTTTTTAAAAGATACACATCTAAGCTACTGAAAGAGACAAAGTTATTTTCAGGCTAACTCCAAATCACCTAGCTATTTGTAAACAAAGTCAAGTTTTGCGATTATTTAACTCAGTTCTTAAGAGTCACAAATTGAAAGGTCAAAGCCTCTGAGAATAAAGCCAATCAAAAGCAATTCAAAATTCCTTGCTACATTAAAAGCTACGTTAGGTAATATCAGGCATTCACTTCCTAATGTTTTAAGAGTCTTTTTTTTGCATCTTGTAGGCTCACTAATCATTGAGGAAAAGTGATAAAAACGAAGATTAGGTATATTTTCTTTAGTCTCAATAAGAATCAGTTACTTAAAGAAGAGAAAAAAAAAAAGCACACCCCATCTCTGCTGCAATGGAACAAGGGGCATCACGTTCCCAGTCAATATATAAGTTTTCTGGCAGAAAAAAAGAAAAAATGCCAGAAAAAAAATCTTGCGCTCCTGGACCCAAGTAGTTTTGAGATCCTTTTAAAATAAACAGAAAAAACACATGACATACTTCCTAGGTAGTCAACTGATTTTACAATATAGTAAAAGTGAAACAGATGCACAATGCACAGTCCTACCATGTTGTAAATTGCTCTAATCGAGGGTAGCGTTATCCCTTGAAAAATGCATAGTAAAGGTACCACATGGCAAAGCCTCATTATACACTCCATTTTGCCTAGGGACAGAATTTACACAAATTGGTTTAAGTGATTGGAAACGGGTTTAAATCTGTAACACAACAGAAGTTCAGTGCACATAAACCTCTTTCAAAATGGTCAAAACTGGTTTAAGATAAACCTGGTTGGATGTAGAGTCAGAATTACGTGATTTAGGTAAAACCAGTTTACGGAACTTCTGTCCCAGATCCCTTACTGGTTCAAGTTAACTCATAGTCCCCCAGCATCCCAGGATGCTTTGCAGCCCTGTGCTGTGTTGTCTGTTCCAGTGGGGCAGGGACTGCTCTGCCCCTCAGTTCCCTAGCCTGCTTCCTGCCTGCATCCATCAACCCATGGGGGGTGAGGGGGGAGGGAAACAGATGCCCAGACCCTCCTAGCCCAGATCTACACAGTGCCTTGGGGGGTGGGGAGGGGGAGGGAAAGCCCCTGTGGTAGGGGCTTTTCGACCCTCAGCAGCTCAGCCCAGAGAGCCAATGCCCCCCTCGCCCCCTGCACAACTGCTTGCTTTAGCTGCTCCCACAGGAAGGAGAGAGGAGTTCCCAAGGCCCCAGGAGTGTGGGCACCAGGGAGCCCATGCCTCAGGGTCCCCTAGCCAGGTGGGTGCAACTCTAGGTAACCATGGGGAATTCCCCTCCCCCTTCCCAGCTGCTGATTGCTTCAGCCGCTGCCACAGGAGGGAGGGAGAAGCAGTCCTCCAGGTCGGGTGCCTGCCCATGCAGCCCAGCATGGGGGCTTCCCCCAACCCCAATCCGAGGACTCCCAGCCTAGGGCAGGCCCAGGGAGCTGAGGGGAATTCTTCCCCTCCCAAACCCCACTGCTGCTTGCCTTAGGAATCTCAGGGAGAGTCCAGGGCAGCCTGAGGGAGCAGAGGGAATTTCTCCTGCTCCTCTGCTGCAGGTTTTGCCACAGCTGCTGTGAGTGAGGCAAAACCAGTTGCATGGGGAAAAGATGAATTTCCCTCAGCTCTCTGAAACTCCCAGTGGCTAAGGCAAGCAGCTGCAGCTGTTGAGTTTAGGAGGGTAAGAATTCCCTTCAGCTCCCTGGGGCTGCCACAGGTTGGGGTGGGGGGAAGCCCCACAAGGTAGGGGCTCCCCGGTGCCCCCATGCTGGGCTGCATGGGCAGGCATCCCACTCAGAAGGCTTCTCCTCCCTCCCTCCTGTGGCAGCCCCTGAAGCAATCAGCAGCTGGGAAGGAGAGGAGGGGAACTCCCCTCACTCCACAGGGCTGCCTGGGCTGGGGAAGCTGCCTAGCTTGAACGGATTCGGCCTCGGGCTTTTTGACTGTCTGTATTTAGTCACAGTCTAAGTTTCCATAATCAATTTCATTCAGGGACAGCTATTTGCTCAATGCAAACTAATTCCCCCGCTACCTTTGGTCAAGCATCTACTATGAGAAACTAGCTTGGGAAAGTAGGTAATATACCTGCTCCGTACCACGGAGTGTGTTTTACTGCAGAGTAAAACGTAGAATAAATTATTTGATAGTTATAGGGTCATGCACTTGCACCCTTAGAATAAGCTACTTCCTAATATTTCTCACCAGATAAGGAAATTCTATAGGTAGATGAGAGTTCTTTATTAATTGCAAAGGGAGATTTGGATATGATTTAGAAACTTGGTGCTAAAATTCCATCTCGTGTTATTACACACAGAGCCGACCCTAGGGGCAATCAGCCTGTGCAGAGCCCCCTGTAACAGTGTATGGGGCCGTGTACCCCTGCAAAGGGGGGTCTCTGTGCTTCTTCCGCAGCACGGGCCTGAGCCACCAGCTCCAGGCAAGCCCTACGGGAGGGGTCACGGCTGCTCTGCCCAGCTCCGTGGGGCCCCTACAAAACACAGGGCCTGGGGGTGGTCACCCTGATTTGCCATACCCTACAGATGGCTCCAATTACACAGCAGTGGCAGTGAGATTATCAGCAGCTCTAACACCATATTTTCAGAAGGATGCCATTAACCAAAAATTACATTAGTGAAATGCTGGGGGTTTAAGTTAGCCAAAATGCATTTCTCTGCTCAGTATCCTTGTTCCCAACCTATTCAGGGGGAAGAGTCAATGCATAAAAACCAGTGCTTCTATCAACTTTCATTTTACATTTTTATTGTTAAGGGCTGGTTGTCATTAGCTCAGGAAGTTTAGGGAGGTTTGATTAGATTCAGAAGTAGCTGAAGCTACTCCTCACCATTTTTTAACTTTTGTTTCCTTGAATTAATCCAGGACACTAGCAATACAAAGAAAAAAGAAAACCACTGGTGTTCTAAAACTGCACTTGCATTTTCTACACATACTGTGGCATCAATAAATCCTATCAACGTACACATTTATTTGCTACAGAACTGAGCAAAATTAATGCCACCTGCCACTGCATATGATTCCTCTGGGCTGCTATGCAGGGAGCTGTAGAAAAGCATTAGAGAAGGAATCCAATATAACATGAATATTGCACAAAGTCCTACCCTCCCTCTCTTGGAAGGATTCGCTAATGACACAGACCCTACTTCAGCCCTTAGGCTAGACAGCAGCTGCAAAGCAGCTATATCTTCTCCCCCTTCTCTCACCCTTTGGATGAGGAGCCCCTCCTCCCTTGGATCTCTGCAGCATTTCCTGGCACCCAGCTCAGCTTCTAGGAGAAATACCTGGCCCCTAGTGCTCTTGTTGAACACAGGAACAGATAATAATACAATAGAACTTATCAATATTTTAGTTAGTTACAAGCACCGTTTTGTCCCAGCACTGCCTGTTGTAATTATCTTGGTATAAACATTTGCAAATGTGGCATGAATCTAAAGAGAAGACTTATATTATATTAAAAAGCAGGAAAAACATGTACAGGGA